ACAACAGCTCTTAGCTTGGGGTGAAGTAACTTCTTGCAGTCGCATGTGGGGAGGCCTTGCGGGGTGTCAGGAGGATAATTGCTCATTTGCTCTACCACAGAGCACCATCTGCTCTTGAAGTAATGCCTAAGGATGTGAGAGGATACCAGGGTCGGGTAAACAGGCAGGGGAGCCCGGTGAAGATTTTCCCCTGCTTGTTTTATTATCATTTGTTTTATGGTTGCTTGCCCTGGGCTCAGCTGCGGTCAAAGCCCCATTGTGCCAAATAGTGTCCGTAGAGGGAGTCCTTCCCATACCGAGCCACTGGTCTCATCTGGGAAAAAACAAGGATGAAGTGGCCTTTATGCTTATATCAGAATAGTGTCTGTGTCTGGAGCATTGCCTGGTGCACTGTCCACCAAGCAGTTCTATAATGGTTTTCTGTCTTGAGGAGGTGAGAAAAAAATGGGAAAAAAACCAGTTTCCTTCACTTCTGTGGTGGAAATAGCATAAGGGGGGGAGGGGTAAAGGTAGCTGCCAAAAATGTATCTGGATCCAGGCAGGAGAGTTTGCATGAGGAACTCATCCATCCTAGAAGGAATTACCAAGCAGGAAGAAGTCCTACCTGGGCCCAAAACTGAGAAATACATCAGTAGCGTTCTGTCCTAGCTCAGCTCCAGGCAATTACTTCTGTCTAATTTGCTCAAAGAGGTAAGACTGGGCTTCAGAGTGGATTGAATAGGAAAACACGTTTAATTATCTTTAAGTGTTAGGACTGGAAGTGTCTTCCAGCTGCATGCACAGACACTGTCCAGGCACCCCAGGCCCCTCCCCATGCTGCCCAATGGTCTGCATCCATTCTTGATGGGATGTGCTGGTTTTTACCAGAATGTCCAACAGGGAGAGGACAAAGTAGGCTTTCCAAGTAGATTGCTTTCCCATCACCACCACTAGCAACTGGCCCATCAAGTCCAAGGGACCGTATGTGCCTTTAACACTGCTGACCTGCAAGTCATCTCTTCCCTTCTCTCTCTTTTAAGTCTCTATTAAGGCATCAGAGCTCTGATGCCCCATCTTTGCCAGAACACTGTAGTGAAGATGCTTCAAACTGTCTCGTTATCTGATGAAAGCATCCTGTGCTACTATTCCCTCTGCTCATGGAAAGCACACACTGCTGCTGGAACTGCTGTCTATCACATGAAGTAAAGGACTGTCTTGTGGTTTGGCTTCAATTGTGGTCGTTCTGGGGGGCTTGCCGTGCTTTTCTGTGGAGGGTGGAAAGCTTGAAAAGATTTGAGTTCTTGAAAGAGGTGATTTTTTTTTTTTAACCTTGAAAATCCTTGATGAAATAAAAAAGCTTGCTTCCATCTCGCTCTGCTGCAGGAACTGTTGCATGAAGATAAAGTCAGGTCCTATTGTTGTGGAACTGGATCTCAGGAGACCAAGTATTCAGTCAGAATTAAAAGCAGGCAAGAAGCACCAAGGAGCGCAGAATTTTTAGCCTTTCCCTTCACCCCCTAGCCTGTTTCGATTTATTTGAACCTCAGTATAGGGCATTTCCAAGGGATTAGTGCCTGGCTGGGGTAAGTAGCCCAAAGCATTTCAGCCAGCTGGTCCCTAATCCACAGGAAATGCCCTGTGTCTCCATCCATCCCCTGCTTGCACCAGCGACCGGGAGCGAGGAGAGGAATTGCTCTGCCTGCAGCTTTCCCTTCTGCCAGCAGATGGCACAGCTCATATAAATAAATTTGGAGCAGGCAGGAAAAGCGGTGGGCATTGTGGTTTCTTTCTTAGAAGTTCTGATCTTTCATAGATTTCGGTTTCATACATGAACGAGAAACCGCACTGAAGGTTAAAAATCCTGGAGGTTTCTGCAGGAGAAAGTGTCACTTTTTCATGCACTCCAGCACATTAAACAGACAGTACAAGGGCTTTTTCTTAGAAAAATGTTTCTCAGCCTTACCCTTGTTCAAGGAATACTATTGCTCATATGGCATCTCTTAATTTCTCCCTTACGATGCCTGCTAGTTCTGCTGTTCCCCTTTCAGTTGTTCCTCCTGGCAGAGATGGATTCTCTACGGCTTCGCATAGCTCCCTCAGTGGGTTTTTCCAACACAGGGATGTGGTTTTCACACAGTTTTCCGCCAAGGCTGCTGGCTGTTAGCTCAAACTCCAGAGATTTACGTAGTCAGCTGGGGCCAGCCTGAGTTCATTCTCTACCGCCGGTTGGAGGAACAGCTTGAAGTTGGTAAAACTGTTACGAACGTGCAAGCGCTGCCAAATCAGAGCCGTGCTTAAGACAGACATCATCCTTAACTCCTAGGGGCATTGAGGGTGGTATTTGTGTGTATCTTCCAGGCCAAATGCTTTAAGGAGGGCCAGCATTATAAGGCATTGTAATGTTACATGCATTGGATCACATGTAATCTGGCAGCCTGATGCCAGAATTAACTCACTGTTCCTGCTCTGCATATGGCCACAGTGGAATTGGGGAGGCACGTTCACGTGCAGCATCTTTGTTTCAAGCATTTTTCTGCACAGAGCTTATATTAAGGTTGGACTCGATGATCTCGGATGTTTTTTCCAACTTCTATGACTGTATGATTCTGTGTCACATTTGAGATGGCAGCATATTTAAATGTGCAAAACATGCAACCCATTTGCCATCCAAAAGTCCCAGCAATCTGAGATACATGTGTCAGGCTTCACCAAAGGAATAAAAGAATTCACAGGGGTACTTCACGTTTTGGACGCTGTTCAGATATATGTTGAGATATAACCAAGTCAGTAAATGTGATCCAGAATAGGGGATGAGTGGAGAGAAAGGATAGCACAGCAAGGGAGCAGGGTAATAAACCAAGGCCTGTCACAGAATATGTAGAATAATTCATTCCAGTTCACACGATGATAATTATGGAGCATTTCTTCAAACATCCATCACTCAAATGAAGTGTTTCAACTCTGTGTGGTGGAAGTTGTTAACATAAAAATGCAGACAGGGTTCTCTGCAACTGGTATTCAAACTGATACCACTTTGCATTGGTGTCAGTATGAGTGAATTCCTAACCTGTGAATCATTAACATACACCATGGAATAGTTTTGCACGATACCTGTGTATTAATCATGATTGTCTGCTCTCGATGGAGTCTTTCTAAATCCCCAGTGACTCGCTGGCCTCCCTGAAATCACTGTGTATTTTGGGAAGATCTCTCAAGTGCAGGTCACCAGGACACAGTTTTCCCTGCAAATGCACAAAGTTCCTCTAACCCAGGGGATTTTGCAGGTGGGACTCTTGCTCTCATGCAGTGTCAATTGATACAGCACCAGTGCACTGAATAATAGGCAATGCTGGCTGAGGCCAGCACAGAACTGGTCTCTCCATCCTCCCCTGCTCTCAGCTCCATCATACACGCTGCATTGGCAGAGATATGTGAGCTGATCTGACCACAGCCTCTCTGTGCAGAGATTGCCCAGCACTGGAATAGGATCAAATCCTTCCTTTGGGTAATGAGAAGGTAGAAAAATCTTCCTTTTTAAGTCTTTGCATTTCACTGTCAGAAAAACAAAGCTGTTGAGAAAATACATTCCTAACAAATGTCTGACTTGTTCTTTAAGGGGTTATTCCCCTGCTTTATGCATTCTCAAAGATGATAAACAACATATGGCTTAACCATGCTGTCCCCATCTTGAAAAGAGGTGTCGTTCCTACCTCCCAGAGGCACTGTGAGTTGCAATTACTGTTCTGAAGTGATGCAAGATCCTTGCTCGAGCGGTGTTATATAAAGGTTGTTGTTGTTTGACATACAGTAGAGCATCCAGCCAGCGTGGAGTTGTTATTGCACCAGCCACGGCACAAACATGCAAGGAGGGACCGTCCCTGCCCACAGAGGTTGGACAGGCAGGGAAGCTGAGGCAGGGATGACTGAATGTGCCCAAGCAGGTTTGGGGCAGAGCTCCTGTATAGAGACAGGTCTTAGAAATCCATCCCCAGCAAACAGCCCTGGGTTGTGTTTTCCATGTGAGCATGGCAAAGAGGACTCAGCTTTTATGGGTACTGTGCCCAAGTTTTTACTTTAAAGAATGCACTGAAAGGAGGTTCAGAGCATAACCCAACTCGCAGGTCTGTAGAGGGACGCTTTATTGCTGCCTGAGCGGGGGAGAGGATCAGACTTTGAAATATACAGTGTTTCTAGATCTGAAAGATGATAGTGAATCTCAGCCAGGGTATAATATGCCGTAATACAAAACCTGGCTTGTCTGCATGAGTCAAATCCCCTTTCAGTGGCCACTGCTCCATTACTTCAAAATCAATAATAAAATACTAAGCTTTTATTGATTCCCCTCGTGTTGTGTTGGTTTTGTTGGTTTGTTTGTTTAATTTTTTAAATTTTATTTTTCTTTTCTCCAAGAGGGTTTTTGGCATCACTAGTGCTTGGCTGTTTCTTGCTCAACCTCTTTGTTTTTCTATGGCACCTTCATCTCAGGCACAAGCCGCTGAGCGCAGCGGGGCTAAAGCCAGACTCACCTTTCCGAGGTGAGAAGGAGCTTCTCCATCAAGAGAGAGGAAAGGTCGTGGGGTAATGAAACCTTAGAGTGGAGGGGTTGGGGGGGGGGGGGGGGGGGGAGTGTACTTTTTTATTAAGGCAACGCTGCGCTGCTGGAGATCACCTGCTGCAGTATGGATAAAGTTTCTCTACAGGCACCTGTGTCAGTGCGGGGGGAACAGGGACGAGCGGCAGCCCCTCGAGAGCGGCGCGGGGCTGGGCAGCCCCTCTCCCCGCGGGGTTTGTGTCTTTAACAGGGCTGGCGGGGCGCCGGGCGGGCGGAGGCGTGGTGAGCCGGGAAGGAGCCAGTTTCCTGCTTCCCCGCTCGCAGCCGAGCGGCCGCGGCGGCAGGGGGAGGCGCTCGCCGCCCCCCTCATCCATCCCTCCCTCCACCCACCCACCCATCCATCCATCCGCTCACCCACCAACCCACTCCCGCCCGCCCTTCCTCCATGGGCCGGCGCGGCCGGCGCTGAGCGCCAGGAGGCAGCGCCCGGCAGCGCCCGGCGGCGCCCGGCTGCCGCGATGAGCGGCGGGGAGGTGGTGTGCTCGGGCTGGCTCCGAAAGTCACCGCCGGAGAAGAAGTTGCGGAGATACGTAAGTCTCAGCCCACCCCATGTCATCCCTGCCCCGGCCCTGGGAAAGCCGGGATCTATCCCCTCCGCCTCCATCCCTGCTCCCCCGCCGCCAGCCCGGGTGCACCTGCCGCCGCCTCTCCCGGCGCCGCGGAGGCTCGGCAGGGCGGGGGTGCCTCTTGCCCGGGCGCGGCACGGTTGGTCGTGACTCCCCGCCGCTCGGGGAAGGAGGGTGGGAGCATCTCTGAGCCCCCCGGCTTGTCCCCTGTCCCGCGGTGGTGGGGTGGGAGGTGACGGCCGCGGCTGGAGCGGGCACGCTGTGCTGGGGCCGTTTTGGCTGCGCCCCGCGGTGGCCGGGTTCACCCGGGACCTGCGACGGTCACACCCTCGCCTTTGAAGTCGTGTGTTTTAGGGAAGGCTGGAAATACCTTGGTCCCAAGGAGTAAAGGTACTAACGCATCTTGGATCGCCCCCAACATCCCTGTAATAGTCACTCTCCGCCATCCCGCGCACGGTTCCTATTAATCATTGAACGTCCGAACCCTTTGAAGGTAGCACCAGTAGCGCTTGGATAGCCCTTGTGTCGTTAGCGGCTGAGATCAAACACTTCAAAGAAGTTGTAAAAAGAGGGTCCAAATGCCAGCTCTGTCACATTCCCCACTCACTGGAAGAAATAACTGTTCTTTGCGCCCTCCACCTGACGGTCCCGCCATGCGCCACGAGCATTAGAGCTCAGAAACACACTGCCATCCTATGACTCGGCAACATTGCTCCCTGGGATGAAGCTGGGGTCCAACTCACTGATGCCGGTGACCAGCTTCTGCCAGCTTGAGTTGACTGGAACATAGCCTCTGGGAGAGAACTGGATGCTCTCCCTTCTTGGGGGGATACCAGCCGGGTCATCCTTTAGTCCCCTTGCTTTTGTCTGTATGCATTTCGGGAATGGCAGGCAGAACAAGTGCGACTGGTGTCTCCCCAGTGCCTGTTATTGATTGATGGAAGCATCACTGCCTACCCTTGAGAGGGAGATGGATGTCTGTAGTCCCATACTGCAGGCTAGAGCAGGACTGGAGGGATGTCTGATTTGTGATGTGGTGCTATTAGCCTTGTCCAAAATGGGTTCAGCCCTGTAGACATCAGTCATGCCACATCCCTTTGCATTAGACTGTGTGTCCAGTCACTCTGGGCAGTCCTTTCCTTGCGCCCTCTTTCCCTTTGAGGAAGTATCATGTTGGAACTGCTAGGGAATCCAGTACTTTTGCTCCTTGTCCCCCAAAATGTACTGAGACAAAGGTAAACCTGGGTGTTTATATGGGAAATATCAACCCCTAATGAATACAGGCAGGCTTTGTGGGAGATGGACAGAATGACTTTGTGCATGCTGAACTATGGAGAATGCTTTTAGCTTAATGGAGCAAAGCACCTTCCTCCTGCAGAAATCAACTAATTGCTGATTCTGAGTCACCAGTGGCCTTAACTCATCAAACATCATTAGCTCCCCAGCATCTGCCCCATGAAAGGGCGCTCACATTGCCATCTGAATATCCACCTTGTGCTCTGGCATTCCAGCAAGAGCTGAATAAATCTGCTAAATACTCTACATGGAGGGTGTGACACGCCGGCGGTTAACGCTAATTATTGATGTGCATAAGAGTGCTTTTCATCTAGATACATCCCAAAGTGCTTTGCAAGCCACCTATGTTTTCAGAGTGTCCTCATTCCCCCAAGAGGAAATGCGGCCGTGCTGAGATGTGCCCGACCATCCCACGCAGCCTCCGCGGGGCAGGAAGCGATGCTTGGCAGATGTCACTCTGGGGGATCTCTGTGCTGGAGCGGTCCCGGTGCTGTGGTCAGTGGGACTTCCCTTCCAGTCACACCAGTTGCGCCAGCTTCCTGCTTCAAAGGCTGGATTTGAAAATGCTGGCCTTAGCTTGGACTGTGTCTCATTTGGTGGTGCCCCTGCCTTTACTTTTTAATGCACTGTTATTGATATTATTATGTTTATATAGCTTCAGTATGCATTCAGGGTGTTGATGTGTTGATCAAGTTCTCTTCGATAGTGGTTCAGAGCAGCTTGCTGTTAGAGAGCCTGAGGGTGATGGCTTTACTCCTGTAAAGTCTGCCTTCATCTACAACAAACTCACATAGTTGGGCTTTGGTTTTCATGCACAAAAGGCGAGTTTTCAGCCACTGTGGTGTTATGCTGTCTTTTGTACATCCTCAAAGGAAAGGCGCTGAATCGCTGGCTTTGCCACTTTCCTTATACCTTCAGTTTATATTCTGCTTTGAGACCTCAAAGGAGAAATCTCAGGCTGCAGGATGCTGCTAATCGGGTTTGAAGTTCCTGCTCTGGCTGTATTGACACAGGGTAGATGATAGATTTATTTTTTCTTTGACAAATGCATTTCAAATGTACGTGTCTGCACATGGGTGTGTTGCTAACACTGTCCTTGAAGTGCTGTGCTTTTATAAGCCTGGTTTTGTTTTGCTTTTATTTTTCAAGGAGATCTTTGGCAAGAGAGGAAAGTGCTAAATTTTCTCTCTAACTTCTATCCAGAGTGATCAGGGAAGGGGACTCTTCTCCACACCTGATCCTTGCAGCATTAATCTGCATTTACAGCAATACCTGCTGTTTCACTTCAGAGGATTGTGTTTATGTGAGATTGTGGGATATTTTGTGTAGGACCTCTGTACAATGCTCGGGGAAATACTGGTGGTATTAGTTTCTATTCTGTTGGAGGACATTCAAATGATCAAATGATGACTGCTTAAAGGTTGAGACAAAGTCTAACTTTTTTCTACCTTGTAACTGTGGACAGGGGTTCATGTAGACCCTAGGCAATTTGGCTGTAAGTGCTACTGTAGTATTGCTAATAAAAGCTAAGCAAGCAACTGAAGGTCAAAAGTAACAGAGGTACCAAAATACCTCCTTCCACCTCTGCTCTGCTTGGGACACCAAGCTCCATCATCCACTTCCTTGATTTCTTTTTTTCAGACAAACACTTTCGTACATTCATAGAGTGGTTTAGGTTGAAAGGGATGTTTAAAGCTCATCTAGCCCAATCCCCCTTCAATGAGCAGGGACATTTTCAACTAGACTAGGTTGCTCAGAGCCCCATCTAGCCTGGCCTTAAATGTTTCCAGGGATGGGGCATCCGCCATCTCTTTGGGCAGCCTGTGCCAGTGTTTCACCACTCTCACTGTAAAAAAAGTTCTTCCTTATATCTAGTCTGACTACTCTCTTTCAGTTTTAAAAGCATTACCCCATGTCCTATTGCTACAGACTCTGTTAAAAAGTCTGTCCCTACCTTTTGCCCTTCTGATTTTCATGCATGGAAGGGTCTTCTAGTATACACCCACAAAGCACAGAACTGTCTTTTAATTTTCCTCCTGGCTCCTTCTTAAAACACCTATGAAAAAAAAAACAACCCCTCAATCCCTAAACAAAACCCTTGACTTTAGTTGTGTGACCAATGAGCCGAGACCAGTGCATGTTGTGCCGGTCCTGTACTGACTCACTGTCTCCTGGTCCTCTCCCGCTGGACGTGCCTGTCTGTTTTCTCCTCTGTTAGACGTGGGTTTAGAGTGGTGTTTTGTGTCTGTCCGCTGCCCAGCATGATGGGGTTCGGGGGTGGACTGTCTGGCAGACAAGCAATGTGAAAAATAACTGCTGTCGTAGAGCAGCTCAGCTCCCTATCGTTAGATCAGTGCGCTCTGCCTGCTCATTTATGTACCATGAAGTCAGAGTATTTTCTGTCTGGCTGAGATGTATGTCTGCAGTTCTGACTAAAACAAAAGCTTCTCATCATGTACTGGTTTTACAATGCTTTAATGCTTTGGGGTTTTTTTTCCCCCTGTCTGGTTTAACCAGGGGGAGTTTAGCTTTGTGCATCAGTGGTCCTTTTTACATCAAGCAGAAGAAGTTTAATCAAGGTCATTGGAAGAGCTGCTCCTCTTCAATGGGGTGAGCAAGAAGAGGTTAAGTGGGGTATAATGGACTAATTTACTGATCACAGTCCTGTTCGTAGGGTAACTCCCTGATGAAGGGCTTCTTTTGGTTCTTCTTATCCCACCTGAAATGCGTAGCAAGGACGTCCTCCTTAAATGAGAATGTGGGATGTGGACTAAGTAGGACCACTGGAGCAGAGATGTTATAGGCTGCTCAAATGGTGGAGATGCCGGGTGGAGTTTGACATGGTGCCAGTTGAGGTGAAATTTTATATGAGGGGGAAGAAAGAACATCCCTTTATTGTGCAACAAAATACAAAAGATGGATATTGTGCAAAATTATCTCTTTTTTTTCCCCTCTTCTCTCTAAGGACTTTTAATGGGTCGTTCTCGTGTTCAGCTGTGCCATGCCTAATTCAGGATGCTCCCCTCTACCAAAAATAGGAAATGGTTGCAGAGATTCCAGAGAAAAGCACCAAAAAAATGAGCAGAAACCTAGGAAACATGGAAAGACTGAAGGAAATGAGGTTGTTTAGGGATGAGAGGGCTGAGAGGAGAAGTAGCGGTCACTGAGTATGTCTAAGGTATCTGTGAAGGGGAAGGGAGTAAACTGCTCTGCATGGCCAGTGGAAGGAGGCCAAGAAGTGCTGAGCTTGAACTGCAGCAAGGGAAACAAGTGTTAGGAAAAACTTCCTAACCTCTGATTGCCAGAGAAGTGAAGCAGTGGAATAGATGTTTGGGATGGGCTTGGTGTCTCCATCATGGCAGTTTTGAAGCGCAGGTTGGCCAAACTCTTCAGAGAGCTGATCCTGTTTTGAGGCAGTGGAATAAATTTGACAAATTCTCCAAAAGTTCCTTCCAGTGCTAGTTTAGGTGAATTTATGGATTTTGAGCCTGGATCCAGGGAGGGATAGCAGGGAGGCTTAAGGGCACAAATTATGTCACCTGGGTCTACTGATGGGACTCAAGGAAGTCCTGTGACAAGTTCTTTTCAGAAAGTTTTGACAGCACTGAACTTCATGACTTAACACTTACTCCAGCTGTGAAGCTGCCTGCTCCTCCCATGTAATCTCC